AAAAAAAAAAAAAACTAAGAAAAACAAAAAAAAAAAAAAAAATTTGACGAGCCACGAGCCGAGCCGGCTCGGCTCGTGGCTCGTGAATCACGAGCTCGTGGGCCGAGCCGAGCTCGCCCACGAGCAAACGAGCCGAGCTCGTGGGGCAATGGGCCGAGCCGGCTCATTGCCACCACTAGATCCTTTCATCAGTTACCCGTAGCTGATATCATCCCCCTATAGGCCTATATAAAGAGTAAAATCTTGGAAAATAGTGAGGCTGACAAGGTAGGTAAGCTTGAAAACTCCTCTTGTTTAACTGCATATTCTTTAGTTTCTGATTAAGCCTTTCTTTATGCAAGAAGCATTCACTTTAATTCCAAATGATTTACTTCTTCTCTTCACATGCAGTTTCTACGTGGAGCTGCAGAAATTCAGAAGGAGAAAAAAAAAGAAGAAAGAAGAGCTTAGTCAATGGATTACTCAACGATCTCGTTGTTCTCAGAACTGGTAAGAAGCTTGACCTAGCTGAAGTACGTCATTTTATTGTACTCTCTCTCTCTCTCTCTCTCTTCCCTTATTGGGTGAATGGCTACTGTAACTTGCCTTTTCTTTGTCCGACGGTTCCTACTTCTGAAAGTCCAGGAGATACAAAGCTTTACTTTTTCCCTGGATAATGAAGTGGAAAACAAATCTTAATTCTTAACCCTTCGTATGGTAACTATGATCATCTCTTTAATATTACTTATAATGGCCGTAACTGTGGTGTCACATATTTACAATCATTAATATAAACGGAGATTTAAGCAAAGAATATGTAATGCTTGCATGGTCCAAACAGACGATGCCAAATTTAAGAACGTGAAGGACTGACTCAGTAATTTTACAGGAAGTGGAAAATTCAATTTTCGAGGATCAATGTGGTTTCATTGACTCGTTTGATGAAGATTTGGCTGCTCTTCTTGGAGAAGAATCCCCCACTTTTTCTCCACGAAGTAATTGCTTATCAACTCTGATTCGGAGTAGCAGCTCTTCCACCAATTTGCGCACTTCCTCATGCATGGGAAAAAATGAAGTGGCCATTGAACCACCATCGAAGCAGAAAGAGACTAACAATTATAACTTCTCTAGGCCTAATCCTGATCCCTTTTCTTCTTCTTCTTCTACTGCAATCATTCTCAATTTTGGCAGTGCGAATTCTCCTGAAAGTCCTCAGCCACTGAACCTAAGCTCGTTGAATGGCGAAGAAAAAGCAGCAGTTTCTGAAATTTTGAAAAACCCTGTAGAGGCTACAAAAAGTGAACCAACAATAAAGAAAACCAGCCGTGTCCGGCCTCCATCTCAAACCTACGATCATATACTTGCAGAAAGAAAGAGGCGTGAGCAGCTCAGCCAGCAATTTGTTGCTCTTTCAGCCTTAATTCCTGGCCTGAAGAAGGTACTGAATTTTTCATTAACTTCCTTTTTTGTTTACATTTTAATTATTACTCATAATTACTGGTGCCTTTGTGGTCCATTCAAATAATTTATTTATAATTCTGGCTTCTTTACCACGTGTTCATACATATATAATGACATATATAGAAAAGTAAATACTCAAGGACAAGGACAAGGACAAACTGATTTCGACTAAAATAATAATAATAAATACTGACATTGCAGAGGGATAAAAATTCTGTGCTGGGAGATGCTATCAAGTATTTGCAACACCTCCAACAGCGTGTGCACGCTATTGAAGAACAATCAACCAAACAAAACCTGGAATCTGTGGTTCTTGTCAAAAGATCGAGGCTTCTAATGGAAGACGATGGATCGACCTACGAGAGTAACAGTTCCAGCGAGCAGCAGTTGCCGGAAATAGAAGCTAGAGTGTGCAATAACCACATTCATCTCAGGATCCACGTTAAGAAACACAAAGGGGTATTGTCGAAAGTACCATGTGAGCTAGAGAAGCTCAATCTGGCTATAGTCAATATTAATGTCACGCCATTTGGAAATTTTGCCTTCGACATTACCATTATTGCAGTGGTAATTACTCAAAGATGATCTTTTTTTACGTTCATAGATTCATTATTTCTACAAATTACTAATTTATATTGAACGTGTTAACTTGTAGATAGAAGAAGAATCCAGCTTGACCGTGAAAGAAATTGTACAAAATCTTGATTCGGTCCTCCACTGTACAACATAGTCAGTGCATAAGATTAATAAACCTTGCTTCATTGCTAGAAAATCTTATTTTCTTGTTTGACATAATGACACATGGTCATTGACCAATTTAAAAAAGCAAACAATTTTTCCATCAATCATTCACCGCCACCAATGCATGTCATCAAAGGTGGTAAATTCACCTAACAAGCAAGCATTATTCAAGATTAATAATGAACTAGCCCGTGATTCCAAGAGGATGCATAAGTTTAGCGTTTCGTCTACGTACATAAAATGTGTTGAGCTTTCCATTTTTGTGGAAGAGAGAAGATTAATAAGAGAAACTAGAAAAAATGGTACATGCAGGTGAGTGACATATCTTGAGCGTTCCTAGTTCATAGCTGCCTGTCGCAGGCAGCTTAAAAAAAATTTAAAAATTTTCAAAAGGTTTTGAAATTCAAATTTTGATAAAAATGACATTTTTTGGCTATAAATACGTATAAAAAAATGGGAGAGTTTTAATTTTGCTTGTATATTTATAATACGTATAAACCAAATAACAAAAAAAAGTACCGAGCCTCTTTTTTTGGAACCGAGCTTTAGCTCGGCTCGGCTCGGGTAAAAAAGGCTTGGCCCATTTTTGCCCGAGCCGAGCCCGAGCCTACATTTTCGGCTCGCGAGCCGGCTCGGCCCTGCTCGCTGCCATCGCTATTCTCATTCTCATTCTTTTTTTCTTTCTTCATTTCAACCACACATTCTATCAATAAAATAATACTACACATAAACCTAAAAAATTTCTTTACTTTTTAACCACACATTCTTCCATCAATCACTATTCAAAAACACATTTTTCTATTAAAATGGGTGTCAAACACCGCCTAATAAAGTCTTCTTCGACTGTCATATGATTGTTCTCAGTTTGTCAACCACGTTAATTTGTGTGTGTGTGTTTTCTCTTTTTGATCTTTTTTTTTCGTTGTGCATTTGGTTGGAATATTTTTCACCAGATGTTCTAGACACAGGATTTTCTGGGTTTTATTATAATTTATTTATAATTTGAAGTCCAAGTGAAAAAAATAATTTTAATCGTACATTTACAACTACTACAAATTTATTATTTACATATTCCGTGAGATTATAATGAAATCCAAACAAGCACATAGTAGCTCAAAAGGATTATCAACCATGATAATACGACATTGTCACATTAGTCCATCAAATTAAGCCATTGTTTGGCCTCCATTTTCTAAAAGTTGTTTTTTTAAACTCATTTTAATTATTTATTTCATCATTTTTTATTAAAATCTACTAAAAAAATCAAAATAAAGATGTACGTAAGAAGGTGATAAGGTACGAACGTACCAGAAATCACATGCATTCATGCAGAGAGTTAGTGTGTGCCATAGACAAAATTGACAACTTTACGATGTTTTCTTCCAATTATGCCCTTTTTTGAGCCCATTATTCAGTAAAGAAAATGAGAAAAAACCTTGAATTTAATCAATTTATGTATAAAATTATTTTATGAGAGAATATTTGATTAAAAATGAGTTTTGAAAAAATAAAGCACAAACATGAGCTAAATATAAAAACAATAGCTAACCTACAAAGATTTGTATATTTTTTTCTAACAATATTAAGCCTCTATTTCATGGTTCATTATTTTGAAAAATAAAAAACTAGAGTTTTAAATAGCTAACCTATATATATACAGACTCAATCATATCTTATCACATTATATGTATATAAATTATTATGTAAACACATTATGTACATGTAACACTATTGCAGAATTAAAGAGTTATTTTAAACAAAGACAAAAAGGGGTTAAATCCTCGTTTGAGCTTCATTTTCCTAAAAAAGAAAAAAACTCACTATTTCAAAATTTATTTTCAATCACATTCTTTCATAAAATAATTTTATATGTAAATTTTAAAAAAAAATCTTATTTTTTAACTTCACATTCTAAAAAAATATATATTATTTCAAAACACATTTTCCCCGAAAATGGAGCTCAAATAGTGGCTAGCATTTTAAAATGGTATCGAAGTCCAAAAATTTAAATCAATATGTTGATACATCTAAAATTTAAGTGACTGTTTGGTAGAGCTATTCAGCAAATTTTAAGCAAAAAATGGACCCTTTTTTTCCACATTTGGGTCCCACATGTGAGAGCCAAAGTCAACAATGGTTGCAATTTTTTATTTCTAACGGTTGGAAAATCAATTTTTTGGTCTTAAACTACCCTCCTAGACACACTCTAAATAAGCAAAGTAACAAACGAATTTCAAGACTATTATTCTCACATTAATTGCATATAAAAATAATAACTAATTTATAAGAATTTGAATTATTTCTCTTACTAAAGCTATCCTTGTGAAATTGAACTATACCCAAAATTTTAGCACCTGTGTGGTGGCAATTTTTTTGAAAAAATATTATTTTAAATGGTGATTTTTTTGAAGAATATATAGTTAAAAAGTATAAAAAAGTTTTAAATTTACATGTAGAATATTTTATTTTATGAATGTGTAGTTAAAAATGTGTGTAAAAAAAGGTTTTGAAAGAATGAGATACAAATGGGGTCTTAATATCATAAAATTTACAACCATGCTACAAGTACAATTTTTTTGACATCAAGTTTGACATTGTGTCACATGTTGAAGGTTGAGTGACCAGTTTTTAAACACCACACACTTTCCCGCCCATTCGAATTTGAATTAACATGGATTCTCAAATTCCTTGTCAACCATAGATTGTACACAAAGCATTATTCTAAAATTTAACCCCCATTTGACCCCATTATTTGTGATTATAATTTTTAAAATAATATTTTTTTAAGAATACGTGATTAAAAAAAGTTTTTAATTTACGTATAATATTATTTTATTGAAATTGTATGATTGATAAAAAAGAAAAAAATAAATTATAATTTAACGGGGTGGCTAAGAAGGCATAATGGTAAGAAAAATGCTTTGTGGTTTACACATAGTTTTACACATCCCTCACATGGAGGGGGACCCAAGAATATATTATTGTGTGTGGGCCCCTCTCCATGTGAGGGGAGTGTAAAGTCGTATGTACACTATTGTGTACACGTAGCATCACTCTAATTGTAATGTCGATTGATGTACAAACAAATGTTACATATCATTATTTTTGTGTGGTTATAAAGCAAAACTTTTGATTTTGAGTATTTTATGCTTTGTACTCCACTTGGATGGTCTTGTGAGGCCTAATTCGGTTACATTATCCTCGAGAACTTTAAAAACCTATTTGAAAAACTAAGGGTGCGTTTAATTGTAAAGGTGGAAAATGGGTGGAAAGAAAATGAATTCCATGGAATTGAATTGCCTAGAAATTATTTTACGGAGAATTGTTGATTAATTGCGTTTGATTGGTATAATTTCCCCCTAGAAAATGTTGGAATTTTCCATCTTTTGGTATTTGATCCGCTTCGTTTCCTATGGAAACTTGTGACTTTATTAATCTCCAAGAAACCATCAACACATATATGCTCGTTGTTCATAACATTCACACAAGAAACAATACCGCAACATTCTAATCAGGAAAAAAAAAATGGAAGCAACTGCTCTGAGCATCTGATAAAATAATTGTCAACTACCCAATTTCTTAAAACCATTAACCTCAACAAATCAAATAGAGAAATATTTAGAATCCCTCAAACATAGAAGTAAGCTCATATCAGTATCAGTTTATAACCCATAATGAAGACTTCGTGGAATATTTTCAAATTTCAGATGAACTGAATAAAACAGCAGAACAAACAAAAAAACAACAAGAATCAGTAGCCCACGTACCCGTTTCGACGTCGGAGGAAGCGATGGACCTTCGTCGTGAGATAGAGCAGCGAACACGACCGTCGGCTGGGCCAAAGAGAAAATGGCAGCTATCGATTCAGCGTGAGAGAAGAGAATCGTAGTGGCTTCTGGCTTGGAGAGAAGGGAAAGGGAAATGGCGTTGCTACGGGAGAGAAAAGGGTTTGCTTCTTTCAATTGTAGGGAAAGGACGTAGCTTGCGGGAGAGAAGGGTTTCCTTCTTGCAGGGAAAGTCGATTCCCAGATGAAACGAGGGAAAGTGTATTCCTCAATTTGGTGGAAAATAGGTAACGTGAGGGGAAAATGAGAAAATGTTTTCATTGGAAAATTTAGCCTATCAAACGTGTCAAAAAGTGGGAATTAGAATTTATTTTCCATCTTTCATGAAAAAAACTGCCTATCAAACGGGGCCTAAAAGTACTTTTAGCAAGTTTGCAAAAAGTAGTGTATTTTCTTATTCACACGTTTTGTAAAATCTTTAAATATTATTTATTTATTCATCACTCATTTTTATATATTTATAACTATAACTGTTTATCATAAATACTTGCCAAACATATTCTAAATTTAAAGTTTTACATCTAAGCATATAAAATTGATCTCATGCCTCCAATGGACAGATAGATTTCCTTACAACGTCAATAGTAGGAAAATTTTATCATGTTCACTGACTATATAAGCATATTAATCAATTAGCAAACCAAATAAAGTACGGTTAATTATTTTGGTATTTGTAACTAGTCGAGAAGAAATTTTCGTAATATGAATAATTAAAACTCAAAGTTTCATTGTTTGCTCTCCATTATTATCTCGTTAAAATGAAAAACATAACCGTTATCCATCATATCAACATTTAAATTCAAATTTTCTATCTCTTGTGTGGGCTCCAATAACGGATATATTTTTCATTCTCATTCTATAATAATTTGACTGAAACAGGGCCTAATGATTGTCAAACAGGGTTGAGTCAAGAGTCGACTCCAAAACAAATAGTGTTTTTACTCGAGCTTAGTTTTTGATGATGGCGTGATTTCGTCTTACGAATGATGTTTATGAACATACAATACCTCGAGTGCTAATGGTGGCACTGGCTCGACTTTCTTCGACAACCAGCTTTATATCGTGCTTATTTTCATAGAAAAGAGGGCAGGTGAAACGTCGACTTATCTCGATTCTAATTTTTTTTATTGCACGACCTATTTCT